AAAAAGAAAAAGCAGGTTGTGCAATAACCAAAAGAAATTACCTATTATCTATATTTCTCCAGAGGTCATCAAGACCACCATCCCCTAAAGCCTCATGAGCCCATGTTTTATCTAAATGGCAAATACTACCATGCCTGGCCTTACCAGACGGCTATCCCCTGAGGTCTTGCTTACCATCTTCTTGAGTTAGAACATCACTACTGATTAAGCTTAAAAGTATTCTTAAAATTGTTGTAGTTCTAGTATTTTGATTAACAACAAGCTAACTCTTTCACCCCCTCTGTCAATATTACTTCTGTTAATCATGAAATGCAAGCTGAGAAACACAGCCCACCTTCTTCCTGTCAGTAATTTCCCATCATCCTTCAGATCTCAGTTCAGGGGTCGGTCATCTTGTTCACTCATTTATGTAACAAATATTTACTGAGCACTGATTCTATGCCAGGATTGCCCTAAACTCTGCGGGTACAAAAGTGAAGACAGACATTTCAATCTTTTCAGGAAGTTTACATGCTGGGAGACCGACTAAAGGGAGAGGAGACAAAATGAGGAGACAGACAAAATAATCACAAACTGTACAATTGTTTTGGAAGACAATTCCCTAATCCCTAATCCTTTTTCCCTAATCCCCCAACCAAGTTCCTCCTTTTCTATCATATTACAGAGTGGTCCCCTTTCCCCCTTTTTTTTCTTCACAACACAGAACAGTTTGAAATACTTGAGGCATTATTTAATTTAAAAAACAGAAATGCCTACTGTCTAGGACATCTTTGGGTGGCATCAGTGCAAATGATTAAGGGCTCAGCTACGAACAGAAAAGTCCAGCAGTTTGAATCCACCCAGAGGTGAGTTGAAAGAAAGGCCTGGCAACCTGCTTCTGAGAGGCCTTGATCACCCACGATGTCCACTAACAACTATGGGCTGTAAACACCCTCCATGAAGGGGCAGTGCCAGCATGCATGGCTCAACCCCAGTAATCAACGAGTGAGGTTTGAGTCCTCCACAACTGGATCCCTTAACAAGTACAATGTTTGGTCCCGCATTTTTTTTTGCACAGAACTCTCTTCCAACCAGTGTCTACTGTATATCAGAATATGAAACAAATCCTAAGTGTTCAGAGATCTGGTTGAAGGCAAAGGGAGCTGAAAAAAAAAAAAACAAACCCTGTCCACCAAGGTGTGGTCCTCTCCATCGCCCAGCAGGGGAGAAACGGGCCCATTCTTCTGGCTACAAGGGGGTAGGACGGGATCCCGTCCCTTGGCCTCTCCACCCGCACTCCCCACCCCTCAGCATGTCCCCAGCCCCGCCCCTCTCTTCACCCCTCTGGCTTCCGGCTGTGCTCACCACCCGAGGGAGATTTCCTGCTGGTGGGCAAGCGGGTGCCAAGATTTGCCTACAGGCGCCTACAAAGCGGATGGTGGGCCGCCCGGTCTGGGAGTCAGGGGTTCCAGGGTGTCCTCAAGATCCGGTGCTGTGCGATCTTGGACCAGTCACCCAACCTCTCTGGGCCTCCATTCCCTCCTCCGTACAGGGCGTGGGGTGGATCAGGTGCCCTCCAAGGTCTAGAGGGGGGACAAGTCCCAGGGGTCCTCTGACTACGAGGCTCCAGATGCACCCACCACTCCTGGGCCGCGCGAAAGTTGACGTTTCGGGAAAGAGCAGGGCGGGGGCGGGGGCGTGAGAAGGCCCCAGCCCGCTCGGCAAGCGACACTCGAAACCCCGCACCCGGGCCCCGCTCACCTCCAACGACGGGTGGGCTCGAACCAGCTCACTGGCCGACTGCGGCAGCCGCACTCGCCGCCCCTCCACCAGCAGCGGCATAGCGGAGAAGGTGGCTTCCTCAGCCCCCGCCGTCCGCCGCCGCGCCCCGCCCCGCGCGCTGCCGGGAACTGGAGTCCTGACGAAGCGTCCAGGTTGCGGGAAGCGGGGGAAACCCTGGGCGGCTTCGAAAGGCCTTCTGGGAAATGTAGTCCAGTTGCGAAGAAGCGGCGCTGGAGGCGGCTGCTGAAAGCGCTGAGAAATGCATTTGGCACTAGCCTTCTGAGATTTGCGGTGGGTAGGACTGCACTGCTGTAAAAGCCTTTTTTTCTTAGTGCTCTATCCCAGTTCCTTCACCTGCCAAACAAGCCCTCAGTGTGAGCTCTGGAGTCTGACTGCCATCCTTACATCTATGCTCCGCTCTTCCTGTTACGCCTGCTGTGTGACTTGGGCCAAAGCTGTCTTGAAATGGGAAACCTGCTGTGCTGTGTTGAACTGTATTCCTGAGTCATAAAAGTGAATCGCTCTAAACTAAGAAAATAGATCTCAAGCTTTGGGCTCAATTCATGAAAAATTATCTTTTATGTAGAAACTTGTTAATTTACTGAAAATTTCCTAATTCATATATACATTATACATGCAACGATGATATGTATATGGCCTCAAACATACAGATTCAAATATATACAAGGAGGTTTCAAAAAGTTCCTGGAATCTTCTAATGCAGTTACCTAAGCAACAAGGTAGAAAGTCTGCCTCTCCATGAAAGATATCACCCCCTCTAAATGTACATCTTAATCCAGCACCTTAAACCGCTAGGCCATGCTATCACCCATTAAATGTACATATTAAAAACCACTTCAACAGAGCCACCTCATTTCAGTGGGGGTCAGTTTTGCAACATCTGGGGAGAGGAAGAAGATTATTCCGTGGCTGCCATACAAAATTGTGCTAAGGTCACCCCAATGCCACAGATAACTCCCACCAGAGTGATAAGGAAACCTTACAGGAAATTCAAGTGAAGATGGGGGTTGGGGGTTGGAAAGGGACATGTATGTTTCAGAGAAGGCAATTGCATCTCTACTGACAGGAAAATGAGGAGGAACAACTTCCCACATAACAATCCTTATGTGGAAACCAATTGGGCACTTGTGACCTAGTTTCTAAGTAGCCCTAGGTGACCAGATCCGTGAACTATAGATTACTGGGACTTTGGACTGTTAATTCGAGGTCCATGTCCTTCAAAGGCCTTACCAGAAGGACCTGATGTGGAAACCCCACCAAGTGAACTGAGCTTTACCTCAAACTCACCTGAAGCCTTTGAACAGAAACTCAAGAGTAGGAGGATTCCCAGATGACTGGTAACAGATGACTAGGACACAGAACCAACTAGCAGGCATTGAATTTTGGTTCAAATCTCTTTCTTTGGGAGTGCCCAATGAATGGTGACCTGGAACTGTTAGTAGCTGGAATAGGGACTGGGGCATCCATTCCGCATGCTCAGAGGTTCGAGCTTCTAGCCAGAAAGGGGTGGTACACCTAAGTGGGTGTCACACCTGGATTGGCCCATCTAAGCCAGGTGAATTTAATTCAACCAATGGGGTCGACCAGTATTGTCGACCACGCCTCCTGACAGGGCTGCTGAAAAGCCAGAGGTTTTGCTCTGGGCTCTCTCTCTCTTTCCCAGCGGCTCCAACATGATAGAGCACAGCAGGGCTGAGGTCAGGAGCGGCCAGGCCACAGCCCCACAACTTTGCCATGGACTCTGTGTGGCTTGTGGTCCATTTACTGTAGAATCTGAAACTGCTACTATTCTCTATAAACCCACTTGCACCACAAACCAGGTTTAAGCGTGAATTCTTTCTCATGCGAAGCCAAGGACCGAGGTACATCTGTCCCCTGAGAGATCTAACATAATTGCTGCCGGTGACTCAGACCGGCTCCAGATCCTTTCCTGGAGCAGGCACCTTCTGGCCTCTTTCACCTCACCACCCTTAGGAGACGGCACGTAGCTGGAAAGGAAGGCAGGCTGAACCCCTCCCGCAAAACACCTTGGAGGCGGATCCGAACCAGCTCATGGGGACACTCGTAATGTATTACCGCAGCCCCATCCTTTTGTGTCCCTCTTTTCACCTATTCTTCCTGGTGTATGGGATTTGATGTCTGCCTTGCTGTGCCTGCCTTCCCCAGTCTGGATTTCGGGGAGGGCGCTGGGACGCTGTTCCCTGCACGTAGGAGGAATTTGACTCCCAAAGCCTTTTCGAGTCTCAGTGGTCTGCTTTGTGCTCCTCTGGCCAGCTGGATTGGCTGGTGCGCCCGCCCGGTAAACCCTGGTGGTTTCTGCAGGACTCTGGCTCTGGCGGCTGGCCCCATGTGGGCTTTCAGTAAGGCCTTGAGCTGTGGCCGCCATTTTCCCAACCACGTGACTCCGTTCCCTGGCAGCATGGCGCCACCGGGTGTCCACCATTTTGGCTGCAGGGCAATGGAGCATGTGACGCTGCCAAGATGGCACCCACCGCTCCAACCACGTGGAGGGGCAGTGCCAGGTAGCTGGTTGCTTAGGCCTGGGAGTTAGCCCTTGCTCTAGTCCCGGGAGCCGAATGTTTCCCTTTCGCCCTCCATTCTCTTTGGCTTTCTCCTGGTTTTTCAAACAGGCTGCTTTAGTGTTCTACCAGTGTGGGTTTGTTCCTTGCTACTGGCTGGTTTTCTATTGCCCAGGGCTAGGCCAAAGGCGTTTGGAAGCTGAGCCCAAGTAACTGTTAACTTTCGCCTCTCAGTGATGCTGCCTCCGGCACTTTTTGAGACAGCTCTTAATACAGCTCTGCCACCATGATGTTCCAGCCAGAACTTCCAATTCCCTAAAGATTCCCTGAGCTGCCGGATAGACAGCCCTTCCCTTCAGAGATTTGAGGGTCTGCTCCTGCCGGCAGGCGTCTTTGAAGGCCATGGGGCCACACCATGCTGTGGCCCTCCTAGCGTGTGGTCTAGAAAACGGTCAGACCTAACATCGGCTGCAGTGACTGGTCTTTGACCCCTTTCCTCAGGCGGGGGCACCTGCCTCATACCGCAGATTCACGGCACCCTAGAGGTGTGCGCTGATGTGGTTGTTGACCTTGAGGCATCAAGCTCTCAATAGCCTCCTTGTTTTGTGTTTTCTAGATGGGACTTACCAGCTCCATACCCAGGAATTGCCCCCTTGGATGCATCCTGTCCAATTGGGATAGATTTGATCCAGAGAGGCTGGATAAACATAAGCTGATTGTGCTTTGCAATTCTGTTTGGTCACAGGATCTTTTAGAGAAAGGAGAATCGTGGCCAGCCAATGGTACACTTTCCCTTCCAACCCTGCAACAGCTAGAACATTTTTGTGGAACGATGTGGAAGTGGGCGGAGATCCCATATGTTAGAGAATTTTTCCTTTTGAGGAGCAGCAAAGAGCTTCTTTCCCAGCGCACCCAGGACCCCCCAAAGGGACCCTGGACTTAGGGGCAACTATTCCCCAGGCCCTGAAACAGCCCTGAACATTCTACCCGTAGTAGAGGCAGCAGGGGAATTTGGTCCCCAGGCAATTTACAAGCCTTTTACTCTAATTGAACTCAAGCAAATCAAAAATGACTCGGGCAGTTACTCTAACAAACCCGAACAGTACATAGAACACTTCGAGCACCTCACCCTAGCCTATGATCTAACCTGGAAGGATGTAATGGTCATACTGGGACAGACTGGGACAGACTTTGAGAAAGAACGAGTGCTCAAAGGCGCTAGGAAGTTTGCAGAGGAGTTACATGTGATGAGTGAAAAGTACCCTGTAGGGGAAACAGCTGTACCTTTAACTGACCCTGCTTGGAATCATAGTGAGCCTCAGGACAAGTGGGCATGGGAACATTTCCTGGTGTGCATCACAAATGGATAGGCAGGTAGGCAAAAGGCCATTAATTATGCCAAAGTGACAGCGATTCACCAGGGACCTATGGGATCTCCTGTAGGCTTTTTAGAGCCGCTAAAGGAGGCCCTAAAGCAGGGGTCCTCAAACTTTTTAAATGGGGCCAGTTCACTGTCCCTCAGACCTGTTGGGGGCTGGACTATAGTTAAAAAAAAACTATGAACAAATTCCTATGCACACTGCACGTATCTTATTTTATTATTTTTTTGAGGTGAAGGCAACAAGGAGTTTATTCAGACCCCCATCCAGAGAGGTGCTCACTCACAAAGCAACACCGAACCCAATGCCAGGGGTGCATTCAGACTCCCTGTGACCCCACATGAGGTTCTGAGACGCTCTGTATGGCAAGACCACCTCATCTTTCTCCCGCACTCTCAGCGGTAGACCTGCATCACTTAGACTTGTGGAAACAGAGCGTGAGATCACCCAGGCCGAGTTTGTCATTCAAAATGAGAACGCCGCAACGCTCAGGCTGAGACTGCAGGCGAACACTCCTGTGAGCCGCTGGACAGTCTAGGGTGCTGTTTTGTCACCACCCCAGGACAGACGAGGGCTACGCAGACGACTCTACTGCAGACCCCTCACAGCCTTTAGGCCAGTGAATGCCTTTACCTGTTCCTGTGTTTACAGTAACCAACTCATACCTGGTAGTCCTAAGATTTTTATTTCCTGTGACACTAACCTAACTTCCAGGGCACTGCCACCACACAGTCTTACCCTTGTCTCACTTAAACGGTTCACCTGTTAGTCCGTTTGTTTGTTTTTCCAGAAGTTCTCAGGTTACCAAGGCTTCTGAACCAAGTGTGCCAGCTCAAAGACCACCATCTCCTGGACCCACCTCGACCTTATCCATCCTGGGCCCTGAATGGACAACCCCTTCCAACAGAGTAGGAAGGGTGTGGACCCAAAACCCCACTTCGCCCCTTTTGTCAGCAGGAAGTAGCTAGAGATGTCGTCACCCAGTACCCCAAAGATTTGGGTCCATATCTCTTCAGGGGGGAATGTTAGGTAGCCAGCATAGGAACTGGGGCGTCCATTAGGCATGCTCAGAGGATCGAGCTTCTGGCCAGCAAGGTACACCTAGGTGGGTGTTATACCTGGATTGGTCCATCTCAGCCAGGTGAATTTA